AAGGTGTCTCTGAGATTTATCATGTAAGAGCAAAGGATCTAAAATAGAAAATAGTTTTGAAAATTTAGGCAAATGAAAATTAAAACCACAATAAGATAACATTACATATCTTTTAACATGGCTGAAATTTTTAAATTTAATAATACCAAGTGCTGAACAGAATACAGAGAAACTGTAATTCTCTTACAATGCTGGTGAGAATAACAAAATGTATAGCTACTTTGAAAACAGTCTGGCAGTTTCTTGTAACATTAATCACAAAACATATGACTCAGCAATCCTGCTTCTAGGAATTTACCCAAGAGAAATGAAAGCATCTCTTTCTACAAAGAGTAATACATGAATATTTATAGCAGCCTTATTTATAAAGCCAAAAACCAGAAACACTTCAAATGTTACCAATTGTTAAATGGATAAATAAGTTATGACACACCTATACAAAGGAAGACTACTCAGCAACAAAGAAAACTGAACTACTGACACATGCAGTAACAAGGATGAATCTCAAAATCATTACACTAGGTAAACCCAGATGCTAAAAGGTCTTCCTACTAGAGGATAGTCAGAAAAAAGCAGTACTGATCAGAAAGGGAATCATATCGGTGGGTACCAGGATTTGGAGGTTGAAGAGGAATGACTGTGTAAGAGATTTTACAGAGCCCAGGGAAGATGAAGAGCTGTTGGTCACGGTAGTGGTTACCTGGGTGTATTTAAAGATTTTAAAAGTGCATTTTACTGTATATGAACTAGAGCTTAAAAAAGCCTAACTCTATAAAAAAATTCAATGTTTAGAAATGCATTTATATTAATAAAGAAAATGAAGAGATGATTACTGTGAAAGTCAGGTTAACAGTTACCTAGGAAGAGGGGAACTGAACGCTTCTGAGTGCTAACAAAACTACTTGGTGCTTTGGGTAAAGCCACAAGACTGTATGCTTCATAATTCGTTCTTAAACTCTGCACTTATATTTTGTGGGCTTTTCTTTAAGCATATTTTAATAATAACAAAGCATTTTAAACTTAAAAAACAACCAAATATTTCTGTTATTCATTCATAAAACCTTATGAGGTAACTCTTCCACTTTTTTTTTCTTGCATTTTATTTTTTCCATTTATTTTTACTAGTTGGAGGCTAATTACTTTACAATATTGTAGTGGTTTTTGTCATACATTGACATGAATCAGCCATGGATTTACATGTATTCCCCATCCCGATCCTCCCTCCCGCCTCCCTCCCCACCCCATCCCTCTGGGTCTTCCCAGTGCACCAGCCCTGAGCACTTGTCCCATGCATCCAACCTGAGCTGGTGATCTGTTTCACCCTTGATAATATACATGTTTCGATGCTGTTCTCTTGAAACATCCCACCCTCATCTTCTCCCACAGAGTCCAAAAGTCTGTTCTGTACATCTGTGTCTCTTTTTCTATCTTGCATATAGGGTTATCGTTACCATCTTTCTAAATTCCATATATATGTGTTAGTATACTGTAATGGTCTTTATCGTTCTGGCTTACTTCACTCTGTATAATGGGCTCCAGTTTCATCCATCTCATTAGAACTGATTCAAATGAATTCTTTTTAATGGCTGAGTAATATTCCATGGTGTATATGGACCACAGCTTCCTTATCCATTCATCTGCTGATGGACATCTAGGTTGCTTCCATGTCCTGGCTATTATAAACAGTGCTGCGATGAACATTGGGGTGCATGTGTCTCTTTCAGTTCTGGTTTCCTCGGTGTGTATGCCCAGAAGTGGGATTGTTGGGTCATATGGCAATTCTATTTCCAGTTTTTGAAGGAATCTCCACACTGTTCTCCATAGTGGCTGTACTAGTTTGCATTCCCACCAACAGTGTAAGAGGGTTCCCTTTTCTCCACACCCTCTCCAACATTTATTGCTTGTAGACTTTTGGATAGCAGCCATCCTGACTGGCATGTAATGGTATCTCATTGTGGTTTTGATTTGCATTTCTCTGATAATGAGTGATGTTGAGCGTCTTCTCATGTGTTTGTTAGCCATCTGTATGTCTTCTTTGGAGAAATGTCTGTTTAGTTCTTTCTTTGGCACATTTTTTGATTGGGTCATTTATTTTTCTGGAATTGAGCTGCAGGAGTTGCTTGTATATTTTTGAGATTAACCCTTTGTCTGCTGCTTTGTTTGCTATTATTTTCTCCCATTCTGAAGGCTGTCTTTTCACTTTGCTTATAGTTTCCTTTGTTGTGCAAAAGCTTTTAAGTTTCATTAGGTCCCATTTGTTTATTTTTGCTTTTATTTCCAATATTCTGGGAGATGGGTCATATGGAACTGGAGGAATGAACCTGCCTGACTTCAGGCTCTACTACAAAGCCACAGTCATCAAGACAGTGTGGTACTGGCACAAAGACAGACATATAGATCAATGGAACAGAATAGAAAGTCCAGAGATAAATCCACGCGCACCTATGGACACCTTATCTTTGACAAAGGAGGCAAGAATATACAATAGAAAAAAGACAACCTCTTTAACAAGTGGTGCTGGGAAAACTGGTCAACCACTTGTAAAAGAATGAAACTAGAACACTTTCTAACACCATACACAAAAATAAACTCTAAATGGATTAAAGATCTAAATGTAAGACCAGAAACTATAAAACTCCTAGAGGAGAACATAGGCAAAACACTCTGACATAAATCACAGCTCTTCCACTTTTGATAATAAGGTTCAATTATTCCAGGTTTTCCCACAGAAAATAACTATAAAATTACACAAATTACAAAAAGAACTCTTGAGGCACCAAAGAGTGGTGCCTCTCCACCAACCAAACAAATCAAATGTAGAGGGTATATGTATGCTCAGGGAGAAGAGAAGATAATTACATGAAATTAAGTTTACCACTTTTAGTTAGAGCTTTTAGTCTGAGAGTAAGAATAACGTTCAGTTCAGTCCAGTTGCTCAGTCGCGTCTGACTCTTTGCAACCCCATGGACTGCAGCACGCCAGCCTCCCTGTCTATCACCAACTCCCGCAGTTTACTCAAACTCATGTCCACTGAGTCGGTGATGCCATCCAACCATCTGATCCTCTGTCATTCCCTTCTCCTCCTGCCTTCAATCTTTCCCAGCATCAGGGTCATTTCAAATGAATATTCAGGACTGATTTCCTTTAGGATGGACTGGTTGGATGTCCTTGCAGTCCAAGGGACTCTCAAGAGTCTTCTCCAACACCACAGTTCAAAAGCATCCATTCTGTGGCGCAACTATAACACAGTGGAAAACAAAGGTCTCCCTGGTTAAAGGAACCAGAAAATTGAAGCTATGGAGCCATGGCTGTTGAGTGTGGGGAATTCCAGAAAGGAAATAGAGAAGAGATCCCCCAGTTTTCTGGCCACATCTCTGACTGAAAGCTAAACCATACATGTGGAACAGACTCACTCATAGCAGTTCAGCTAAAGACAAAAGATCTGAACTGAAACTGGAACCGCTAGCCAAGAAAAACAACCTTGCAGTTCAGTTCCAAATAAGTTAATTGACTATCAAAACAAAAGTAACACACTCATTGCAGAATGTCCACACCTGTCATGCAACTGTTGGGTACTAGCTATATGCCAGGCATTATGCTACATACCAGGAATATGCCAGTAAGCAAGTTAAAGTTCTTGCCCTCGTGGAGGCTATAGTCAAATGGAGAAGAGAGCCAAGAAAGTACAACAGAACTTAGTAAATGTTTTAATAGGAGAAAAAAAGGGAATATGTGATTGAAACACCTAATGCAAAGTAAATAGGACTTTCTAGAAGTTTTAACCAGCCAAATCCAAAGGAGTGGAATATTCTGGGCAAATCCCAGAGGTAAAACCGATGGCACACTTAGTAACTAAAAGAAGTTGAGTATAGTTGCTGCATATACAGTAAGAAAACAATGACAAGCGATGACACCAGTGAGTGTAGCAGGGTCCAAAGTGTCTTAGAGTGCCAAGCTAAGAAGTCTGAACTTAACCAGGAACAACTAGAAGTCTCTCAAAGATTTTCAAGCAGAGAAGTGAAGTATTTCCAATTTTCTTTTAAAAAAGCTATTTTAATGGCTGAACAGACAGGTCTATAGACTGTTGAACAGTCAGACTGAAGAAAGGTAAGACTGGAGCCAGAAAGACAAGTTTAGAAGCTATTTAAGAATTCCAAATGAAAAATAACTTTATTAAGCTTAACAGAAGCACAAGGGTAGAAGTAAGGAGGCATGTACAATATATTTAAGAAGCTGAATTAATTGGACCTGAAAAAGGTAACACAGCAGTGTTGGGAAGAAATATTGTGAATCTAACTGTGGGCATATTGAACTATAGATCTTTTTGAAAAATAAAAATGGAAACATTTGGCATTCAGGTAGACAGACCTAGTTTTGAGAGTGAGATCTAAAGCAGAGATAAAGCTTTGTGTTTCATTAGCTCATAGGGAAAACTGATGCCTTAGGTATTAATGTCTAACCCTGGTAGATTAAAAAGTGGTAGACATTTTAAACAGAAGAAAAGAGAATCAATGGATTAGGATAAGTTTTATATTGAAATTCCTAATTTCAACAGAAACAATTTATAGCTCAATTAATTTCTGCTTATATATGATATATAAGCAGTATATACAGTTACAATACAGCTTTCTCATCTGGAATGATTCTAACTCTCAGATGAGCCTGGAGGCTTGGATGAGTTTTGAAAGCTAGGAGAAAGTTTTTTTAACAACCCAATTTAAATAACTTTAAGAAAAATATGTTTGGTTTTCATGAAGGGATTCTTTTCATACTTAAGGTAAAAGCATCCACATAATTGCTCCTTTCCTTTTTAGAATTTAAGTGTCTACAAAGAGGTGGAGAAGGGTAAACAAATGTCAATTAAATACAGTTTTTCACACAACTGATACTGTCTTTCAATTTAATGAAGCACCAAAAAGTAACAGAAAACACAGAAAGAAGCAACTGAAAAATACATACATGTTAAAAAAAAAAAGCAGAATATTTAATTTGAAACTTACCTTGCTCCTAAATTTTCAATGGTTATATATTCATCCTTTCTCACAACTTCAAACTGCAAGTGATGGGGGAAAAAAAAAGCTCTAAAGTAGTTCAATTTTCAAAATTCTTTAGTGTTACTTCTTAGCCTTAATGTTTGAAAGAAGACAGTGAGAATGAAACTATAGTGAATATACAACAAATAAAATAGAAGAAACAAGCTATAAACAATCTTAGTCAAATAGTAGAGCTGATCTTAAAAACCATTTCTACTTTATATCACCATAGGATTTAAATGCCAAATCTAAAAAAGAAGATCATACCTAAATATAATATATATACATATTTTTAAAATTTTGGTTTACTTACTGATAAACTGAAAAATCAACAAGATATTTTATTAAAATGAAATAGCATAACCAAGACTATAAAGGGTTCAGAAATTCTGAAATTATTTTTAAGCATACATGTAGCAGAATTAGATTATCATCCTCTGTGCATGAGAGACTTTCCTCACTGGTATAGTCATGGCCTGTTTTGTCAGTTTGTGTATGTGTGTGTGTGTGTTTTATTTTTAAAATTTTTTTGCTTTTAAGTCGCACTTAAATACTACTTTAGAGAAATCAATGCAACAAAATGTTAGAGAGCTTAGTCACCATCAAAGAGAATATGACTAGGCTACTATTATTACAATTCCCAAATCTGTTCCAAGTCAAAAACATCATTCCAGTGAAGAAAAGCAAGAAAAACAAGAGAAAGTTACTCACCAAAATTTTGACAATTCCAGGTACCTCACATTGTAGCATCCTTACCATGTCACCCGTACATCCTTCCTTTAAACATTTTTTTCCACTAAAACTCTATAAATTTTATCAATAGAAAACAATAATAAATTTTCAATAGATAAAATAATATGAACAATAAAAACAGAAAAAACCCACTGATGTGCAAAACTGATTATATTTATATAAATTTAGAAGCAAATATTGCTAGACAGTAAAACAAAAGATGTGAACAAACACTTGAGAGTTAGTTGTTCAAAGATAGTCCATTTCTTGTACCAATGGATTTCCTACTTAAAATGTATGATCACACTTTTCTCTCTCATCATTTCTATTAATATTTCAAAATCTTTATATAGTTACATCATAAACTAAAATGAATTTGATGCTCCCAGTGAAAGAAACTTCAAGCAAAATATACAAATTAAATAAATGCAAAAAGAAATAATGAATTTCTATTAGACAAGTGAAGATTCCAGTGGAAAAGAAAGATTAAAAATTTGAGTCCTCTGATCCTGATCTTGTTATTTCCTCTGGTTAATTTATTTAGTTTTCTTTTGCTTGTCTTTCTAAAGTTGAGTAATACTGATTGCCCTAACAATCAAAGAAAGTGAAAAGTATTTACATACTGCTTAAAAAATGAATAACTATGCCTTATATAATGATTTTTACAATGTACAAGTTTATCTGTTAATCTTCACAACCTTATAAAGTAGGTATTACTACCCTCACTTTATGGCTTAGAAAAATGAGTTTCAGCCTAGTGTAAAAAAAACCTAGTAAGTGGCTCAATCTGGACCTGAACTCAGAACACTCAACTCCATATAAAATTGCTTTATGAGTATTTTCTGTGGTTTCCACAATGTAAACACTTTAGAATTAAACATTATAGACTCAACTTATGGCCATTACCTCATTAAAGAATAAAGAGTAATTAACATAGACACAGGCGTTCAATTTCTACTTTAATTTCAGTGGAAAAATTCCAATTTAGTTACATGATTTTAGACAAATATAAATAACACAAATATATTTTGAAGGTCTTCTGTTGGTGTTTTTTTTTTTGGCCACACCGTGCAGCTTGTGGGGTCTTAGTTTCCTTACCAGAGACTGAAGCCGAGGCCTGGCAGTGAAAGCACCAAGCCCCAACCACTGGACCGCCAGGGAATTCCCAATAACAGATATATTTTTGAAGACTATAAAATTTATCACTGTTCTCTACCCTTAAAACTATACAGTTGTCCTTTCTTTTTATTAAACAATTCTATTCTTTGATTTTATGTCCTTTATGTGAATTTCCTACAAAGACCTATTTAATAAATGGTAATGATGACCAAATAGTGAGGAGAAAAGTATCAGAGAGAATAGGGAAAGAAAAATGGAGCAAGAAAGGAAGAGGAAGGAAGTGAACAGAAAGAAATGAAGGGGAAAGAAGAAAAAAGCAGGAAAGAGCAGAAGAGGATATGCTCTAGTAAAGTTTTAAAGGAAGTACAAATATAATACCTGATCATTTTCACCTGGATATTTTAAATTCTTGAACTTTTTCCAACAAATTTTATGGAAGTAAACACAGCAGCTCTTACTGCACATTAACTGAAAAAATCCCTGGAAAAGAGTAAAAACTGTTGATAAGAAATAATAATCAACATAGATAAAGAAAATATCACCTTAAGTCACTTTTTATTATTCTATAACTAGATGAGTTTTACATGACATTGAAAATTTATCAACAGATAACTGGTAATCAAAGAACTATATAAATCATTTTTATATCATTAAAGACAAAAAATAGGCAATAATTTGAATAAGTTGATTAATATTTTTCATATGCTGCATACAACAAAATACCAGAAACTCAGTGAGTGACCTTTGTAGATGCACATGCTGTCTGCCCCACTTCATCAGAACTTTCACATTTCTCTTTTCCTTCAGCCCCAGTTCCACAGCATTATTCCCCAAAACCCCTTGGTCCTCGGTCACCAGGCCTCAAATCGCTACATTGGTGACAAACACCTCCTGAGCTACTGAGCTTGTGAATGTTGCAAAAGCCCTAGCAAAGCCAATTCATTTTTAAAAATTTACTATTGAAGGATAGTTGCTTTACAGACTTTTACTGTTTTCTGTCAAACCTCAACGTGAGTCAGCCAAAGGTATCCGTATCTCCCCTCCCTTTTGAACCTCCTTCCCATCTCGCGCCCCATCCCACCCCTCTAGATTGATACAGAGCCCCTGTTTGGGTTTCCTGAGCCAGACAGCAGAGTGAAGTAATTCAGAAAGAGAAAGATAAATGTCATATTCTAGTGCATATATACAGAATCTAGAAAAATGGTACTGAAGAATTTATTTACAGGGCAGCAATGGAGAAAGAGACACAGAGAACAGGCTTATGGAGATGGGGAGAGGGGAGGAGAGGGTGAGATGGATGGAGAGTAGCAAGGAAACTTATGTTACCATACGTAAAATAGACAGTCTACGGGAATTTGCGGCATGGCTCAGGAAACTCAAACAGGGGCTCGGCGCCAATTCATTTTTTTATAGACTCACAGGATATAAATAATTCCTGATCACAAGGAATCTAAGCTTTTGAGATTTTTGAGAGTCAAACAACTTCTCAACTGCATTTTTCTGTAATTAAATGAAGTACTTTTTTAAAAAAGTATTTATTTTAATTGGAGGCTAATTACTTTACAATATTGTAGCAGTTTTGCCATACATTGACATGAATCAGCCATGAAAAGATGCTCAACATCACTCATTATCAGAGAAATGCAAATCAAAACCACAGTGAGGTACCATCTCACGTCAATCAGAATGGCTGCTATCAAAAAGTCTATAAACAATAAATGAAGTACTTTTTAAAGAGTATTTTGATGAATGATAATATAATAAGTTTCACCTAAGTTTAATTTTACTATTACATTTTTAAAACAGTTGATTGATAATTATAGTACCTTATAGTTGGTGTTCCTTAAAATGTCGGCTTCACAAGATCGCTCACAATCAAGATAACTGCAAATGGTCTGCTTCATTATATTACTCTCAGTTGTCTTGATGAAATTATTAAGAAGGTCCTAAATTTTAAAAATAAAAAATCTTATGAATCAGTAATAAAAAGGCCACACATTTATATTAAGTTATAGGTTCATTTCATATCCTTTTTTGAAGATTTTTTAAAAATAGTTATAGAACCTATTTCCCTCACTCAAAGTAAACAATACACACAAGGGCCCTAAACATGAAATATTAAATTTCTTACTGAATATAAACACAGAGAATGTGAAAAAAGTCTATATTCAAAGCTACACATCTATATTCCATTCTAACTCAAAGCAGCCAGTGGGTTCCTAACAAGAATTACTTTCTCTGATACAGATATAGAGAAACAACAAACTGTTGGAAACCCAGGAGAGTCCCTGCTAGAACTGGCCCCCAAGACACCATGTTGGCAGTGGTACCACTGTATTGGTGCAACAGGCTGCTCAGCCAAAATGGGCAGGACCAGAAATATGTTTCCAGTGTTCAGAGTTACAACTTTGAATGCAATTTCCATAATTTAAAATGCTGGCTAAAGGCTATGAAACATATTATCAAGTCTAAGTTAACAAGTCCTTAATACTACCCCTTAGAGAGACATACCCACACATACTGAGGGTATATGACATGATAAAGTAAACCTCTATAGACTATTTTATGCCTCAGGTCGGCATTCATAACATTTGTTTAATGACATTCAGAATTTTATGAAGAATAAAAACATTTTAACCAAATCAACTAGAAATTTTTAAACGTCAAGAAATAAAGAAGAAGCATCCGAAGACCTATCCATATGAAAGCAGTATATCCTATGAGGATAGCCAATAGTAAGTGCAGATGGTGAAATAAAAGGACAGGACTCATGGTATGTATATAGCTACTGTCGTTTCACATATCTAATGCTTAATAGTTCAATACTGATCTACTGAGTTGCCCACCAATTCTGTTGCTTGTTCCTTACTTCTTATTTTCTGCCCCAGTCATTGATATTCACTCATTCAATAAATATTTACTGATTGCCTGTTATGGACTAGGTTGTTGGGAATGCTAGGAAATGTTAGATGTTAAGGATACAGCAGTGAACTTAGAAGGTCAATATATACTTAGTCCTCATGGAACTTACATCAAGCACATCTACCACAATCGATTTAGCTTTCAACCAGCAGGCTTGAAGTCATCCATCACATAGTTATTCCATCACATTTTACATGCAATATATAAGCAAATACTGTTGAGACTTCTCCCAAAATATATTGTAACTTTTTCTAATTCTCTCTCCTTTAGTACCATTCCCTGTCTTACCTAAATTACTGACTGTAACAACTGCCTAACTGGTCTCCCTCATCCCTGCCTACTATGCTCCAAAGCACTCTACAAAGAAGCAAAGATCGTGTCAGTTTCTTGCTTAAAACTCTTCAGTGGCTTCCCACTACCTACCTACCTTCCCACTGCCTTATTAAGACTGACCTCAAGGTTCTGCAGAACTTGCAGCATCTGAACCCATTATACCTATCCATCGCTGGCTCATCTCTTCAAATTCATCTCTAGCCTCACTCCCTATAAAATTCACATGGTTTTATACTTGCAGTTCCTCAAACTTGCTCTTCAAGGCCTGAGGGCCTTTTCCCACTCAATTCCATTTACCTAGAAAGTCGTTCCCCTACTCTTTAAAGAGCTAGTTCCATCAGTAGTCTTGTGCTTCCAACTTAAGTATCACCTCCTGGAAAGGCCTTTCCTAAGCACTACACATAGACACACATACACATTTATGCATGTATACATATAAATATGGATACGTGTAGGTATATAAGTGTGTTCTACATTTCCTCCATTTTCTCTATCCCAGTCCCTTGTTTTTCTTTAAAACACTGATTACAATTTGCAACTATTTTATTAACTCCTCCTTTACCATAAATACAGAAACTATTCAGAGTCCTAAATTCTATAAACCATACTTTACTATAATTTAATTCTAACACCCCACTATTTATAAAGCCTCAAATGATCCGGCTAACATCTACCTTTAACATTCACCTCTCAAATGCATGAAAAAAGGACAGGATATTATTTTTTTAGAAAAAGGAACATTCATAACAAGAAAACTCTTGGTAGATGGTAGCTGAAATAATCATGGAAATTAAAAATTCAACAGAAGGACAGAAACAACAATCATGTTGAAAATAATAACGATATGAAGGTCACCACTCTACAAGGGTGCCAACATCTCTATAAGTATGATCTTCTTCCAACAGGGTAAGTTCATCGCAGGAGACACATGAGGATAGGGCAGGCCTCTGGTGGTACTCACCTGGAATTTGTCAATGCCAGATAAAGGGTACAGGCCAGCCCTCTAAGTTTCCTTTAAAAACTAATCACAATGTCTGGGAAGTAGAACTTTTGGTGGGCTGACAGGCATAGGCACCAATTAAAACAGATAGGAACATGCTCACCTAGAGCCAGAGCAGGATCATGAGTGCACTCTGCTCTACTGGACAGTAAGCCTTTAGTTACTGAATTTTAGAGAAGGATTGGGAGAGAGGGCTGGAGAAGAGCACAGGGCGTCTGGGATGCAGCTGGTCACCCAGACTATTTGTGAGGCAGAAACTATTTTCCAAGTAGTATGGAAACATTTTAACATTATAATAACTAGTATGATAGCACTAGTGTATACTGGCTGAATACTAGCTCTATGCAAAAAGATGAAGTTAAGAAAATCTCCTAGAAAGTAGAAAAGACAAACATAAAAACGAGCATAGAAATAACAAAGTCAGAAATTCAGTCCAGGATGTCAAGCGGCTGACTAACAAACATCTCAAAAAGAAAAGAGAAAATGAAGAAGAAATTATCAAAAAAATAAAATGTCCTAGCACCAAAAAAAAAAAAAAAAGTTCAGAACACTAGGGATATACAGAATATCCTAAAAATTCCCAGAAAGAAAAAAAAAAAACAGGTTACAAGCAGAAGACTGAGAATCAGAATGACATCAAATATCTCAAAAGTACTATTATTGGAAGGTAAATGATATTAGAAACATAATTTTTTAAATTAAAGGAAAATTATTTTCAACCTATAATTTTACACCCAGGCAAGATACAAGTAAAGTGTACAAAGTATAAACTATTTTGAGACTTGAAAGGTCTCAAAAAATTTATCTCCCATTAAGCTCCCTTTCTAGGAAGCTGCCGGATGAAAGCTACTCACCCAAAACAAGGGAGTACACCTAGAAAGAAGCAAACTTAATCCAAGAACAGGGGATTTACACAGGAGAGGGGCAAGGTATCCCCAGAAATAAAGGGAAACTCTGAAGCCAATTTAATAAAGACATGTAACTATTAACAGGATGAGGAATGGGAAGTGTGTGTGTGAAGGAGATGTACAAGGAAATTAATAAATCCTCATCTTCCACAGTAGGAAATCAAAAGATGACACCTAAGAGGGAGAATTTTTTTTAAACAGCGGTACAGCTTTTTAAAAGTACAGGTTAATATCAAAGGAAAATGCCTAGAGGGTTGAAAGAAGTTACCTATAGTCAGAAACTACGATTAGAAATGATGAAACACAGACTGTTAAAATCTTTTAATATACTTGACAAACTGTATACATGTACTAGCGGGCATAAGACAAAAATAAAATTTGGATAAGAAACAAAAATATTTTAAAAGGAGAAGGAATAGGAGAAAAACAACCAAGACCAAATAAGGGCTGCTTCAGGTAAACACAGAAATTCAATAATTTTTTAAAATGCATAAAATTACTACTTAATATATTAAGTCAAAGTTACAAGACATATGATTATCTCACCAAACACCAAAGATTATCTTGCTTATACTATTGATAACTGAGAGAGGTATATTAAAATATTCCACTGTGACTAGGAAGTCTTCTAGTTCTACCAGTTTTTGTCACACAAGTATGTTGAGGCTATATTATTAGGTACATAGAAACGTTTGAGTTGTTAACGATTCCTAGAAAAACTGAATTTCTTATTTTTATGAAACATCCCTCTTTAATTTGAGGAATGCATTTGGCTTTAAAGTCAGCTAAAATATAAGGTTTAAAGTAAAACTTTGGAATAAGATACCTCACTCAAATGTTAACCAAGAGAAGCCTAATGTAGCTATTTTCATATTAAACAAATAAAAAGTGACCAATATGGCTATTAGATGGGTAAAAATTACCCCAAATGTAAAGAATATCCAGAGAGCATGGGCTTCCCTGGTGGCTCAGATGGTAAAGAATCCACCTGCAATGTGGGAGACCTAGGTTCCATCCCTGGGTCGGGAAGATCCCCTGGAGGAGGGCATGGCAACCACTCCAGTATTTTTGCCTGGAGAATCCCTATGGAGAGAGAAGCCTGGCGGGCTGCAGTCCGTGGGGTCGCAAAGAGTCGGACACGACTGAGCGGCTAAGCGCGGGAGGACAAAGAGCAATTCTTATACTCTGTCTTGAGAATATAAATCAGGACAAACTTTCTGGGAGAAAATGTAGAAACACACATAAATAACTTATACAAGTGTGTAAACACTTCACAATTCCACCTCTAGAAATTTACACTAAGGCAACGATGTGAGAAATAAAAAAAGATCACTTTCCTTAATACTAAAAAACTAAAATGTTCAGGATAAACTAAATGTTCAATACCAGGGAATTGGTTAACCAAGTTAAAGCAGTTTATGATAGACTATGAAAAATTATACTTTCAATATACAATAACCTATTTGCTGGCAAATTCACAATAGTATATTTTTATACTATAAATCAATGTATATAACATCACACCAATTTACTAAAAATAAAAAGTGTTTATACATGTGTATATGCAAAGACAAATGAAAATTCTAACAATAGTTTTGCCATTTGAAGGAATATATGGATGAATTTTACTTTTATCTTTGGCATTTTCACATTTTTAAAGTTTTCTGAAGTGACCATTTAATACTTTTAAAATTTAAATCAACAACAAAACAATGGCAAATATAATTAGAAAAAAGAAGTTAACTTACATTTATCTGTAGCCATGTGAAGTATTGAACTAGTACAACTTTTAATCTTCTTGTTATCTGGAAATGCTAACACATCCACTTCACTTGTCTCTACTTGTTGAATCATACTCACATTCTGTACCAGATAATGGAATCAAAGTTTTCTCATACAAAAAGCGAATGCCCAATAAAAGAATATGCTTGCTATAGAATGACATAGCATAAACTGCACTTTATCAAAGATGATTCTGACTGGCCACAGATTAAATGTTACTCTTAAAGAATTTCTTACTTTAAAAGTTGTAGGTAAATCTTCATCTTCTGTAGGATCTATATCAAACCAATGATCATCTGTATCTCCTATTTCCTGTAAGCTTTTGTGAAACTCCAGCAGTCCTCCATTATATCTGCAAAGCATTTTAAAAGGTTAATTTGAACAAGACTGTGTAATTAGCTTACCAATTAGACAATAAGCAACCCATTTGTGTGTGTATGTGTGTGTGTGTAAGTAGGATAATAATGTTCAGCATGCTACAAATATACAAACACTAGGACTCTCACCTATAGTAGATTGGGATGAAATACAGGTAATAGATTATGTAGTAGCTCAAGCTTGAACAGTATGGGGGCCATGGTAATTAAAGGGGTTGTAGAGTTGGCTGGCTTTTGTTTACTGTCCTGGAAGCCATGAAGAAAGAGAATGACAGGCACAGGTCAGCCAATGACTGACTCAGGACACAACGAAAGACAGAGGCCTCGAGGGCAGCATTTATAGAGACCCTCAGCTCTGACAGCCATAAAGATAATCTGTGCTGAAAATCAGGCCCAGATTTAACAACACAGTGGAAGAAAGTGGCTACTACTATCAACTAAGGGTACTCCGTGAAAGTTAAAAGGCCTCTATGGTAACATTTAAAGAAATCTGACCAACTCTAAACATAAAGGCAGACCATGCTGAAAATAAGACCCAGTATTTAATCACAAGGATATAACAACAGCAAAAACCAAAAGCATAGTCTCAACAGGACTATTATACTATTAGGACTCTGATATGGAACGAGGAGACCATGCAAATGTCGGTACCTCATCTGAGGTACATGTCCCAAAAGATGATGCTCTTCTTCCTTCTCAAAGTCCTCCCCTATCTCTGCTCATTGCCTAAAGACTGAAAAATCTAGGATTGGGTACAAGCAAAGCCCAAGTGAAAAAAGACGAAGAAAAGTCTTGTTCACCATAAGCATTGCAGACTTCACTACTTTCATTACTATGCAGAGGCAGGAATGTGTCTGGGAATGGATCTTAAGAGAGCTAAACCAATGGTCAAATATACAGCTGGGTAGGGAAATGTATACTGATATGGGGCAACTCTCCCATAATTCAGCATTTACTGAATGCAAGGACATGCAAAGCCAATCCTAACATGTTGCTGAGGCTACTTGAAGCCTGGACACAACCAATGGCCTCTATAATAGTAATAGAGATGAAAACGTTGAAAATTTCTTTTTTTTTTCCATTTATTTTTATTAGTTTGAGGCTAATTACTTTACAACATTGCAGTGGTTTTTGTCATACATTGAAATGAATTAGCCATGGATTTACATGTATTCCCCATCCCAGTCCCCCCTCCCACCTCCCTCTCCACCCGATCCCTCTGGGTCTTCCCAGTGCACCAGGCCCGAGCACTTGTCTCATGCATCCAACCTGGGCTGGTGATCTGTTTCACCCTAGATATACATGTTTCGATGCTGTTCTCTTGAAACATCCCACCCTTGCCTTCTCCCACAGAGTCCACAAGTCTGTTCTATACATCTGAGTCTCTTTTTCTGTTTTGCATATAGGGTTATTGTTACCATCTTTCTAAATTCCATATATATGTGTTAGTATACTGTAATGGTCTTTATCTTTCTGGCTTACTTCACTCTGTATAATGGGCTCCAGTTTCATCCATCTCATTAGAACTGATTCAAATGAATTCTTTTTAATGGCTGAGTAATATTCCATGGTGTATATGGACCACAGCTTCCTCATCCATTTGTCTGCTGATGGGCATCTAGGTTGCTTCCATGTCCTGGCTATTATAAACAGTGCTGCGATGAACACTGGGGTGCACGTGTCTCTTTCAGATCTGGTTTCCTCGGTGTGTATGCCTAGAAGTGGTATTGCTGGGTCATATGGCAGTTCTATTTCCAGCTTTTTAAGGAATCTCCACACTGCTTTCCATAGTGGCTGTACTAATTTGCATTCCCACCAACAGTGTAAGAGGGTTCCCTTTTCTCCACACCCTCTCCAGCATTTACTGCTTGTAGACTTTTGGATAGCAGCCATCCTGACTGGTGTGTAATGGTACCTCATTGTGGTTTTGATTTGCATTTCTCTGATAATGAGTGATGTTGAGCATCTTTTCATGTGTTTTTTTGCCATCCGTATGTCTTCCTTGGAGAAATGTCTGTTTAGTTCTTTGGCCCATTTTTTGATTGGGTCATTTATTTTTCTGGAATTGAGCTGCAGGAGTTGCTTGTATATTTTTGAGATTAAGGAAAGGATATACAATGGAAAAAAGACAACCTCTTTAACAAGTGGTGCTGGGAAAACTGGTCAACCACCTGTAAAAGAATGAAACTAGAACACTTTCTAACACCATACACAAAAATAAACTCAAAATGGATTAAAGATCTAAATGTAAGACCAGAAACTATAAAACTCCTAGAGGAGAACATAGGCAAAACACTCTCCGACATAAATCACAGCAGGATCCTCTATGACCCACATCCCAGAATTTTAGAAACAAAAGCAAAAATAAACAAATGGGGCCTAATGAAACTTAAAAGCTTTTGCACAACAAAGGAAACTATAAGCAAGGTGAAAAGACAGCCCTCAGATTGGGAGAAAATAATAGCAAATGAAGCAACAGACAAAGGATTAATCTCAAAAATATGAAAATTTCTTAGCAGAGTATTCAAGAGAGGTCAGGGAGGAAAAGATGGTAGAATGGACATAACACCATTGAATCCACCATGAGACAGGGTAGCCTAGAAAGGCCCAGAGGACATTCCATTTCATTAATGCAATGAAGAAATACAGAGTAAGGAGGACACTTTGAGCAGCCCAGTGGTGGGCTGTTCTCTACAGGCCAGCGATGAAAGGAAATGCTGCTGCCAGACGACTGGGTTTTCTAGTCTCAGTGATTTGGAAAATGGATTCTCGATGTCCATCAATAAAGAAAATAAACAGTAGTTCACATATCTGAAGGAAGGACAGCAGTCCAGACTCTTTGACTCAGAGCTGTGTTAATTCTCTCCACAGTATTAAAGGGATTTTGATTATCCTGACTTTCGTGAAATAGCCAGTGGCAAACTACATTGAGGACATCATGCTAATAAACAGGAAGCAGGACGTCTTCTGGATAATAAAAACCAAGCAGGCCAGAGGATGGAAGATCAGCCTTTCTAAGAATCAAGGAACTACCATATTAAGTGATGCTTTTAGGGATTCAACAGCTGGGCCCAGCAGTAATCCTTCATAAGGATTTGCATAAGTAAATTTTTCCTAATTCATCCTTCAGATCTCAGCCAAACATTATTTCTTCAAGGAGACTTCTGATTCCCAAGAAACACACTGAGGTTCCAACAAGGACTTTAATTCTTTATTATATTTTCCTTCATAGCTCTTTATCACATTTCATAATTGATTATTTAAATAACTGATTATTTGATTAAGGTCTACAAAGCTTCACTATACTGTCAGTTACATGAGGAAAGAAACTGTTTTGTAAACCATTTTACCCCTAACACCTAGAGCAGTCTCTAATATATAATAAATGCTTAGAAATAAAATGAATGATTGATTCTACAAATGGCTAAGGATATACATATTAGAGGGCGTTCTTGTTGCCTCAGTGGTAAAGAATCTCCCTGTCAAGAAGGAGATTCATGTTCAATCCCTCAGTCGGGAAGATCCCCTGGAGAAGGAAATGGCAACCCACTGTACTATTTTTGCCTGGGAAATCCCATGGACAGATAAGCCTGGCAGGCTGCAGTCCATGCAGTTCCACAAGAGTTAGATATGACTTAGTGACTAAACAACATACATATGGGAAGTGAACAGATAGCCCACATACATTCCTCTGTACCTAACCATGTAATACCCAATACTCCTGGACTCAGAACTGGGACACTTTCAATGTGTTATAAGCTCATTTATAACTTAAACAGCCATTCCAAGTGGTAATAATATTAATAACTATAATTATTAATTATGTAATAAGAATAGTAGTTTTGTGTCCAGAGCACTATGTTAATTACCTTATGAGGTGGGCACTGTTATTAGTTCCAAAGATTAGGCTTAGCAACACTAAATTTCCTAGGGTAGTATATCAGGTAAGTGGTATAAAATGTATTTGAACCGGCCTATCAGACTCCAAAGTCTATGTTCCTAATGCCTATGCTATACCACCTTTTATTGCCATGGCCTGTTAAATTTTATATTTAACATTCTCAAGTACATTAATGAAATGGTCTACAGAATCAGTGACAGAGAAAGAATCAATAGAGCACAAATGTCACAATCCCTGGTATATTGTCCATTACATAATGCTGAAAGTTAACAGGCAAGAACTACCCATTAATTAAAATTCTTACCTCTTCTGAGCACATCGAAGCAAACCACGGCCAAAATAAACTAATGACATAAAGTTTTCACAAATTTCATTTTCTTGGATCACCATCTTCATCACTAGAAATTTATTCTCAGCTTCTATATAATCCTGTAGTAACATAAAACTAGGTTTGGTTGATGTAAAAATTATTTTTTCCTTTTACAATAAACAATTATTTGCCAAACTAAAGAAGATAGAGCAGCTTTAATAGTGATTCAGTCATTTGGTCATTTATTCACATCTCTATTTGTAGAATCTCTGTATATGATCCCATAAAAATGTACTTAGTGCTTAATAAAACAGTTACAAAAGAACTTAAGATGTTTAGTGTTTCTAAGTGAAACATTAAAATAATAATCTTTATGTCTAAAACTGACAAATATTACTAGCAAAAATAAGGGCTCTTCTAATGACTATGGGAACATAATTCTTTCTAATTTTTTTTTCCTAATCAGAGCGCCAATCTTCCTAATTTTTAAAATAGTAAATAAGTGAATTTTTGACCACACATATAGTCTCTTTTGGGGAAGGATCATCTTGTTTATAAGCAATATAGGTATAGAAGTAAAGGTCAGAATCAGTTCTAATAAATGTTTCAGTTACTATTATTAGAATAGGCACGATGGCCCCAGTCTCCCTGAGGGAAAAAAAGTGCTGCATGGCATCGTTTTAAAACATCCTCTAGCACAACACACTAAGCAATAATTGGCACTATGTGAAGTTATTTAACCTGGAAATGTTTTCAGTTCGGTGCCTATAAATTCTACTCCACCTAATTAACAAGTTAGCCTTATTTATGAAGCCAAGAAGAGAGCATAAACTTAAGAGCACAAAAGAAAAAGAGCTGTGAAGGCTGGAATTGAGAAAGCATCGAAAATGAGCAAAAGAAAACATTGAACCTGTAAGGACCCTTAGAGGTGACCCAGTGAACTCCCAGAGTTTCACTTTTGCACTTTATTTGATGAAGAGCTGAGGCCAAATTCATAGTTTACGTAAGAGGGTAAGACAAAAACCAGAGAGATTAAACCACACTAATACACTAGAAAATGGACTAAAATGTGTAAGTGAAACAAGCTAAACAAAACTTTCTGTTTTATACAAATGGTAAGTATTTGAAGGCTATACGCTTACATTAAGTTTATCTTATCAATATTTTTAGTTTCACAATATAGTCTCTGGCAGAATTACTCTATATCTTAAATACATGACAGAAAAGTCATGGAATGGTTTCAGTTTTTAGAGAATTTTTTTAAAAATACACATTTTAACTTACTAAAATGAAGTCAAAGTATGTGAAAAGATTTATTTGAATGGACAAATAACACATGCTACATACCTCTTTCTTTCCTCTTTCAGTGAGGGCTACTCCATACAAAAATAGTAATGTCAGGTAATAACCAATATTAATCTGATGTGCCTAAAAAGATAAAATGTACCTTAGTTGATTATTTAGACTATGCCACTTCTTAGTATAGAAAGCTTAATTAAATACCCTAGGCCTATTTAATAACTATTAAAAGGAGCTAAATTATCATTTTATTATCAATCATCTAATAATCACTACAGAATTCATTTTAGATGTATTTAATAATTACACCCAGAAGAAAGACAGTTAATAATTTCAAAATAAAACATTATAGTTTGAGCAAAGAAAATAAAAGCAAATGCCAACAGTATTTATTCTACTAAAACTTTCCAAAAAATTCTAATTCTCTCTTTTTCTCATTGTATTTTAGGTGTAGGAACATTCTGTTGTTATGTTAGTCGCTCAGTTGTCCAACCTTTTGCAACCCGTGGACTGTCGCCCACCAGGCTCCTCTGTCCATGGACTCTCCAGGCAAGAATACTGGCGTGAGCTGCCATCTCCTTCTGCAGGGGATCCTCCCAGCCCAGGGACTGAACCCAGGCCTCCGGCGTTACAGGCAGGTTTTCTACCACCTGAGCCACAGGGGAGCCCCTAGAAACACTCTAGATAATGACAAATAGCCAAGCATCTACCATCCAGCTTAAAAAGCACAAGGGTCTCTTATCAAAGCTTTTACTGTTCATGGGTGGTTTTGTTATAACAGTATAAACAAAGTTCATCACTTACTTAATGAAAAATTGAAACACAAATATTTCCTTCATGTCCTCCTTCAGAGGACCTTCCCGACCCAGAGCTCAAAAGCACGTCTTTTGTCTCCTGCACTGGCAGGCAGGTTCTTTACCACTAGTGCCATCTGGAAAGCCCTTATTTAAAAACAGCCTATGCTGAATCAGAGATGGAAAATAGATTGGGGATTAGGAAGAGTGAGGATGGTAAAAGGTGTATGTGACTGCTGCCTGTAAAGGGGCAGCAAAAGATTTTCGTGGAGATGATATAGTTCTTTTATCATGATTGCAGCAGGGGTTACAAACATACACTTGTGACAAAATGGCAGAGACCTATACACACCTGTACATAAAAACCTTATCATATCTGGCCTGAGAATGTTATCCTTTGAAAGGCCTGCTTGCAAGTCTGACCCTTCACTGGTGTCTGGAAATCAGGATATCAAGAGTATTCCCATTGTTCTCCAACAGGGGTGGTTGACTGTGCTCAGACTATTTGTGCCAAAGATGCAACTTATGCTGAACATCAGGAAGTTTCTTCTGTGAGTCTGGAACTTTGTCACATTTGAGACAGAGGATGCCCACATGACCAACCCCCAATAAAAATCTTTTTGTTTCTTTCTTTTTGGCTGTGCTGGGTCTTCACGGTTGTGCGAGACCTTCCCTAGTGGCGGCAAGTAGGGATGCTATTCTTCACCGTGGTGGGCACACTTTCTTTTTAATTGGAGGATAATCGATTTGCAGTGCTATGCTGGCCTCTGCAGGTTTCTTGCTGTGGTGGGTCCTCTTGTTTCGGAACACACGATCCAGGCACAAAGACGTCAACAGCTGCAGCTCAAGGCCTCTCGAGGGCAGGCTCAGTAGTTAAGCTGCTCAGACCTTAGTTCCTTCACAGTATGTGGGATCTTCCTGGACCAGGGATCAAACCCATGTCCCCTGCATTGGCAGGTAGATTCTTATCCATTGTACCACCAGGCAAGTCCCTCCATAAAAATCTTCATCAGTGATTCTCTAATGGACTTTCCTGGGCAAAAATACCACACACACATTGCTGCGTTTTTGTTGCGAAGGAGGGAAAGAGGGAATGTACTGTGTGACCCCTCATGGAAGGGAAAATACGTAAGGATGCCCAAAGATGGATTCCTCTAGGCTCTGCCTGTGTGTTAACACTTATGATCTGGGCATATCTTTACTATGTCATTGTAATAAATCTCAGTGTGAGTACAACTATATACTGAATCTCATGAGCCCTTTTGAAGGTGAGGGTCTTGGAGACTCCTGACACCACGCACTGTACCAGTGTCAGCGTCCCGGTTCTGAGAATACACTGCTGTTACGTGGATGTCACTACTGGAGGAAACTGCGTGAAGGGCACAGCAACACCTCTCTGTACTTTTCCGTTGTACAATATTGTGTTTTTGCAATTTTTCTACATCTAAAATTATCTTGAAATTAAAAAATAAATTATCTGTGGAGAAAAATAGTGCTCATTCTGTTCATGAGCTTTATAGTGACTGAAGTATAACCAGATCTTTTGTCACATTGACTTTTTTCACTGAGATTTCCCCTTTACTAAAAACAAGATTTTTTTTCAGGCACATAAGGATTATAAGCACCTATAGAATACAAGATGCTTTCTTTTTATACTGATCTAACTATATTCTCTCAACTAGCCCACTTCTTATGGCCAACAGTATGTATTTATAATTGGCTGGGGTTAGTTCAGTTTCAAATTGATTTTAGTGGAAATATGCATGTATATTTATTGTCAATGGACCAAGTAGGGTTATAAATAAACTCCCCTGAAACATCTAATTGGCTTCCATCTTAAACTTCCTGTCTCTGCAGAGACTCTGAAGCCAAGACCATGTGGGTTTGTATCTTAACTCCACTACTTGATTAATTAAGCAAATTATTTAATCTCCATGCCCCAATTTCTAATCTGTAAAATGAGAGTAAGAAGATGGGCTGCCTGTGAAAAGTAAATGAGCTAATCCTTACAAAGTGCTTAGAACAGTGTTTGTTAAATAGCAAACATTAACAGGTGTGAGCTATTGTTTTGTAACTTAAAAAAAACTAGCTTCATAAATAATACAATACATCCTTTGGCTCATACAATTCTAAACAAAAAAAGCATCTGAGAACAAGATGAGATGCAGAATTGTGGGGACGCTATAACTAGAACATAAAGAAACTTAAAGATGCAAATGGTCTAATCAAATGCCCTGCCCTTTGCTTCATACCTTCCCCCCACTAACGGAGATCATCTCAGGTGATAGGACTAAGTGGATATAGAGATGTTACCCCAGCAGTCCCCCCCAACCCCCGCACCTGACTGCCACTTCCTAAAAGGGTGTTTCACCTCTCCTTGAAGACCTTGAGGATCAGAGAGCCATCTGGATACAGTTGTACACTGCTCTGATCATGACAATTTTAATTCTGCTCAAAAGTGCCACCAAAAGAGGAAATTTTTCCATTAGCAGTAAGACTCATCTTTGAAGTAATGCCTAGAGAAGGCTAAGCAATCAGCATCTATTAATGCTGATTTTACAATGATTTATTTAACTGCTTAGCAACCTGGTCACTAGGAGAAACAGCAGGTCTGCAGTGTCCCAGAAGTTCTTGGGATTACAGGTGGATGCAAACTCCCTTTTCCTTGTTCCCTCTTTTGACCCCATCTAGAATTCCTCTCAAAGAAGGCGATGGCACCCCACTCTAGTACTCTTTCCTGGAAAATCCCATGGACAGAGGAGCCTGGTGGGTTGCAGTACATGGGGTCGAGAAGAGTCGGACATGACTGAGCGACTTCACTTTCACTTTTCACTTTCATGCATTGGAGAAGGAAATGGCAACCCACTCCAGTGGTCTTGCCTGGAGAATCCCAGGGACGGGGGAGCCTGGTGGGCTGCCGTCTATCGGGTCACACAGAGTTGGACACGACTGAAGTGACTTAGCAGCAGCAGAATTCCTCTAGGGTAGTATATATCACCTCTTAGAACCTGTCCTGAAAGTCCTAAAAAAATATCATTTTTCCATCTCTGTGTACACCATTATAACATGGGAGTGGTGTCTTAGGCTACTTTGTTTGATGTCTGGGTAGTCCTTTCTTGAAGATAACTCTAATCCATATTCTTACATGTATGCAAACTTAGCTTACTTTACTGACCCAATTATTCAAAGAACTGCCTCTTCCTTTTATGTCCTGTTCTATTGGTTCTTATTTTTGAAACAATGTTTATGCTTCCTCAGATTTTTCTCTATTTCTAAAGTATCATTTGACCCCAAATGTATGTCTTGTCAATTGTATCTCACAAAATTACACAGATAATAGAAATTCCAATTTTTACAAATACAGAAATACCAGTAGAATTACATATAGAAAGGATAAACAAAAGGTCCTACTGTATAGTACAAGGAACTGTATTCAACATCCTGAGATAAATCATAATGGAGAACAATATTTTTAAAAATGTATATATAACCAAATAATTTTGCTGTACAACAGAAACTAACACTGTAAACTGTAAAATAACTATACTTCAATTAAAGAAAGAAATATCAGTAAAAAGAGGAGATGTCTATTAATCAGGAGGAAAGGAAGAAGTAGTCTTTGAAGTTCATAACTCTTCATGTCTAACTGGGAAAGCCCATTTATACTAGTTCAAGGTTCTCTATTTAAGATGAACAATTTCATGGTAGGAAAGGAAACTAGAATAGGCTCATTAAAGAGATGTGGTCATGAGAAAGTACAAGAGAAATGCAAGAAATCAATTTATGTGTATTTCCAGAGGTAAGTAAGGAAAATACAAATTGGCCTATACCCTAAAATGAGCATACACTGGACGTTCTCTCATTGAAAAAATGTTGTCCAAGTCCACTATTTCAGACTTCCAAAGGAAAACACGCACAGTGTAATTAGTAGCGTGGACGTCCCTAAGCGCTGCTCCGAGCCGTGCTATTAAGAGGCGTAAGGTCAAAGCAGGCACAACTTCCTCCCCGATCTGCTTACTGGCTGCAACTTCTCTCTGTGAAAAATAATTTGGTCAAAAATTTCCTTAAGTTACAACAAACATCAACATTTATTTTTATTAAACAAATAATATACACTCATCACAGAAAATCTAAAGAATAAAGAGGCCTTAAAAAAATCCACACAACCTAGATAAAACTGTCCTTATATTTGTTTAAGTAATTTGACAAATCTTCTTTATAACTACTTCCTGAAAATACTAAATACCAACTTTGCAAAAGAATTGGTAATGCCCGCTCCGACTTCAGGGGAGAGTCATAATCCCACTTCCTTCTGACACCTTCTATTCTCTAACAGCTAAAACTTCTTCCCAGCCCTGAAACTCTAGTAAGCAGGAAGACGCCAACACCAGGGCAAACCATCTTATGCTGTCATCTAATTGAAAGCAAGTTAATATGTAAGTTATTATGTACCATAGTTTGTTACTTATATGGATGAAATAAAGGAAGACGTATGTCTTATCTTTGGGTGCATTCCCCAATGCTTTGTGCCCCAAAGTGCTTGGCTTAAATTACATTCTTTGTTTAATGATATACTACTATCTATAGGGGAAATTTAATCTATACTTTAACTCAGTTTCCAGTTTCCAATACTTTCCTGTTCTTCTCCTAGGCTAACTAGACACTTAACTTCAGTCTCCATAACATTCAATTTTCTCCATCAAAACACATTCCCTAGATAAAGTAATATAGCATCATCTTTTTAAATACTGTCTACACATTGACAGTTTCCAAATTTATATTTTGAGCTCAGAACTATCATCTGAATTTCAGACTCATTTATCCAATCATATACTCAAGAATATCTCTTGAATCTGAAAAGGTATATAAAATATAACACTGAAGTTCTACCTTTGCCAAACAGTTTAGGTAGTTTCAGAGCAATACTCTCAATCAGAACTTTAAAAAGCTGGATAAAGTACAATTTTTTTTTTTTAAAGCAATGGACTACCAAGGCACTAAAATCTATGGGGCCAACATGCAAGAGAGGAGGAAGGCCCAGACACAAGAGACTGATTTTGCAGCCACTTTTTTTCTTAATGCAACTTCTGTATTCAGTTATGGCTGAGAGGTTGAAATGCTAGACAAAGCTTTCAGCAAAGTTGTGCAGCTGGGAGGGAAACTGGGAGTGCATAACCTACCAAGGAACAGTGTCCCTGGCAAACACCTCATTCTTTTGGTTAGAATCCTGAAGAAATTTATCCTTAGAGTAAGTGTCTCTTTTGGTTCCAATTGGAAGCAGACCCTAACACAAAGATATGAATGCAAGTAGTTTATTTGAGAGGTGCAGAGAACAATGGTAGCGGGGTGAAGAAGGGAAATCAGGAAAGAGAAAGCAGGCTTTAAATTAAAAGGTGTGTTATTAAGCTAGCTACCACAGTGGCTGACTAGGGTTAATGCAACAGGAAACCATTGAAAAATTCAGCCTCAGTGTTATTCAACTTAAGGAGAGAGGGTACTGGGATTTTTTATATAGTAATTCCCAAGGTTTATTGATGGTGTGCTTTCTGAGGTCAGGGAGTGTACTAATTCCTTGAGATCTCTAAAATTCTGTGAGAATTATAGCTTTCTGCAGTTCCAGGCACAATGGTAAAGAATATTTTTGCCAATGCTGGAGACTTAGGAGGCGTGGGTGCAATCCCTGGGTTGGGTAGATCCTAGGAAATGGCAACCTGCTCACAGTACTCTTGCCTGGAAAATCCCACTGACAGAGAAGACTGCTGGGCTACAGTCCATGGGGTTGCAAAGAGCTGGACACGACTGAGTGACTGAGCATGCATGCATGCAGTTTCAGAAAAAAAGCCTGAAACGTAGAGATGTAGACATTGAAAACTAGAGACTGGCCAGAGTATACCAAAATGATTCAAGGGGCCAAGGAGTATGGGCAGGGCACTGGCAGTATCTGCTATAAGGGGTAAGCCACAGACACTTCATAGAACAGAAGTGAAACCTGGAATCATCTCAGTCCCTAGCTGAATTAAGTGATCTGTAAGAAAAGCACAAATAAACATTACTAAGAAAGATTCTGTCTTGTTTTTCTAGTTCTCAAAAGAAGGTTGCCTGAAACTAACCCAGGCAGCCATTGTAAGTAGAAGAATTCTGTATTATCCTTTAGATGACTATAGTATTTAAAAATAGCTTTATTGAGTTATAATAAACATATTTCAGGTGTACAACATAGTGATCTGACATTTTTCTTATGACATCCTCATAAAATGATGACTGCAATAACACCAGTTACCATTCATCATTATACAAACTTGTTTTAATATTATTGACTATATTCCTTAGGTGTATATTATATCCCCTTGACTTATTTATCTTACAGCTATAAGTCTGTATCTCTTAACCCCCTTCAGACAAAATAGATGACTATGGAATTTGTATTGAAGCGTTCAAGTTCATTTATTTATGAGTTTGGTTATTTTTGCCTTTTTTCTTAACATTCTTACCATACATTTGTTTTATTCTGTCTCATTAGATTTGTCTATTTTTATTCTTTTTTTAAACTTTGCTTTAAATTTTCTGTTCTTTCTTTAAACTCTTGAATTTTGTTTAGATGACTGGCATTCAACCTTGCTTCTTTTTCTACTACATGCATCTCAAGCTACAAATAATCCTTGCAGCACAGCTTTTATCTAATAACACAAATTATGACCCATGTTTTTCATATATTTTAGTTCCAAAATGTATCTAATGTCCAATGTGCTGTGTTCCTTGATTTAGAGGTATATATCTTAATTTAGGAACAATGATTTTCTAGTTTGTGTATCTATAACTAATTTTTAAATCAATTGTACAAATGTTAGAGAACATGCTCTGCATGTTTTGATTCTTTGAAATTTGACTTGCTTTATGAACTAGCACACGGTCAATTTTTGTAAATATTCTATGTGTATTTAAAAAGAATACATTTTTTGTCACTATTGGGTTCAATGTTACATATACATAAATGAATTAGACCAAATAAATTAGACTAAGTTTGCTATAGTTCTGCTAACTTTGTGTTCATGTTCTATCACTTATTAAGAGAGCTCTATTAAAATCTCCCTCTGGGACTACTAATTGGTGCATTCCCCCTTTAGTATTATCAATCCTTATTATCTTATACACAAAATTTCTGAATATATTTGGGTCTACTTCTGGAATTTCTCTTCTATTTTACAGACTTGTCTATAGAGTCAAGAGCAAGTAACACAATCTTATAGTTATTAGAGCTTCATAGTAAGTTTTAACTTCAAACTGGGCAAACTCCCAGCACTTTTTTTCTACAATGCTTTCATAATTTTTCTTGGCTAGTCTTCCTTTAATTTCTGATTTGAACTTTAGAATTAGCTTTTAGTAAATAGAAAACCCTCTTGCTATTTTTATTGTAATTTTGTGATACTTGTAAATTTTTATTTCAGGAAAATTGGCATCTCCATCACACTGTGTCTTCCTACATCTATTGCTTCCCATTCAGGTCTTCATATCTTACTTTTTAATAGAGCCTTAGAAATTTTTACTTACTGTTTCAATATAGTATTGATTTCTAAACTTAAATATGAAAAAATAGATGTGTCGGGGTACTTGCTACAATGTAGATTCCCAGACCTACCCCCAAAGATTTTGATTCTTTGGGACTAGTATGGGGGTCAGAATAGGTTCATGTAAGTGGCTTAGAAAAAACTTTTGAGAAACACCAATTTATTTCTTGTGTATTTCTTAAGTGTTTTCCTGGGTATTTTATCTTTTTTTGTTGCTATCAGAAGTACTTTTCTTTCATTCTTACCTTCTAATTGGCTACTGTTTATACAATAAAGCCTACTGATTTCTATTTCATATTGTGGTTTCTAGGTGATTTTCAAAAAATGAGAGGGAAAAAAGTGGCATTATTCCACCCATTTCAAACCAGAATTCATATTTTTGGTATATTACCTCATTTAAGGTTATAACTGTACATAAAGTCTTTGGATATTTTTAGAGCTTTTATGAATTTTTAATCATAATAGTATTAATTTGTTTCATGGAAATAATTAATAATATATTCTTTCACAGAAAAGGTAAATGTGGCCTTTTCAGGATACCTATGGTGTTCTGTCTCCTTCCCCCAATTAACTGTCACAAAGAATAGATAATCATTTTCTTTAACTTTGGGAAATTTCATTAATTTACAAACTGATACTCATCCTGTGTCAAAAGCTTCACAAATTATCTGGAAAAACTATTTATAAGATGCAAATCAATAATATATTCTCTAGAATATTTATCTCATTAAAAACCCAGAAGTCTTATTATTTTCTTTATATTTTATATTTTTGAAAAAGCCATCAGCATTTTACAAACTGGGAAAACTGAAAAGTAGTTCCCTCTTCCAGAACAGTCTGTTGCCCATTACGAGAATTCAACCTTAGACCTTATAAGCTACTAACAGCTTATAAGCTACTAACCCACACCCTTACTATCATTCTTGAAAGGCCAGCATCAACTTTATCTATTTAATTAATAAAAGGCTAAGCCGAAACCAAAGCCCTTCATAAGGTGTGAGATAGTTTCAAGAACTTAGTGTCGCTGTTGTGGGAAAGAAAGAAGGAAAGAAAGGGAAGGAAGAGGACGGAAGGAGGAAAGGGAGAGAGAGAATGAGAAAAGACGGGAGGGAGGGAGGGAGGGTCATTGCAAAGTAATGAGAAATACACATGCTGACCTCTGTCCCCAGTTCCTGCCAATATTTGGTCTTTGACTCTGGCTCTAAGCACAGAGCTCCTAAAACCCTTGGAATTTCCTGGATGACAGAAAGATAGTGTCTTTTGTTCTAAAGTGGTAACTCTTGGTGGGCTCCTGGATGGACACTTGGGCACCAGAAAGACCAAGCTATGATTAGAAGTTTGGAACTTTTAGCACCATACCCCCAAAGAAGGGAGGGAAGCTGGAAGGTAAATTAATAATTAATAAATCAACATACCTACATGATGAAGTCCCTGTAAAAATTCTAAGACTATGGGGTTTGAAGAACTTGCAGTTTGTAGATGCCAGGAGAATGGTGTACCCCACCTCCAAAAGGAGACGAGTTCCTGAACTTGAGACCCTTTCTTGACCTATGTATCTCTTCACGTGGTTATTCAGCTGTATCCTCCATAAATCACATCCTTTGTCATGTAATTAACTGGTAAATGTGTTTCCCTGAGTTTTATGAGCTGTTCTAGCAAATTACTGCACTCAAGAGGGATCATGGCTGAGTATACAAGCGGCCAATGGATAGCCAGCTAGTCAGAAGAACTGGGAAAAACGAGGACGGGTGATTGGCATCTGAAGGAGAGCAGTCTGAGACTGGGCTCTTAACTTGTGGGATGGGATGCTAACTCTAGGCAGACAGTGTCAGAACTGAAGTGACTTGTGGGACACCCAGAGAATGCTGGAGAATTGACTGGTGTGGGACCAAACCCACATATTTAGTGTCAGAAGTGGTGTGAGTGTGACAGTGGTGTGAAAGTAAAGGAACACAGCGTGTCATATATAGAGAGCTACACTTCAGCCCGAAATACCAAATTATTATCTTACCTGCATAGTTTGGAAAGAAAAATCTTCTTGTAAGAACTTCTTGATGTGAGGAACCACACCTTTTGGTAGAGTGTTAATTGCATTCAACAATTTCTTCACTTCTAATAGTAGGTTAACAGGGACAAGGTCAGTAGGTGTGTCCTTTTCCTGTTTGTCCTAGACAACATTTTAAAAATTTACACAATTATTCATGATCTTATTTACTACAATATTAAAACCAGTTGATGTATTTTTTAAAAGTACCTTTACATGCTATATGTGGTCACTGTGACAGACTACAGAAAATCCCCATAAGACATTCTCTCTGTTTTCAAGGAATGTACAACACAGCCAGAAGTTTAAGATCAAAACTCAAGAAGCTTTAACCTAGGGAAGGCCACTATAAATGCATTTATAAATTATAAACAAAGCATAGACTCAAAGATGGGAATAATTATATCTTTTTTTACTGCAGCAGGATGGGAAACATGAATGATTTTAGGCTTACATGTGAGTGAAGCCTCAAAAAATGACTGCCCTTGAGAAACACACCGCATGTAGGGAATTGGTCCATTTAAAGGCATAAAAAATGCTAAGTTTAAAATACTAAATAGGTTATTCTACAAAATAATATGAGAACTATCTCCAATAGTGCTTTTTACATTATGTGACTAATGCTTCAGCTACTACATACAGCAATTTGAAAATGAATGCAGCTGTAATACTTTAAGTTATAAATAAATTAGCGTAATATAATCTACACCTAATCTCACTTCAGTCAGAGCTGAATAAACAGTAATAGTCTTGGGGCTTCAGGAACTGATCCTTATGGACTTAACAAAGCTGTAATTAACCGTTAACTGATAGCTATATGGTCAAGTCTTGCTGAATTTTCTATTAACACTAATTGTGAGAAGGAGTGGGCAACAGAAATGAATAAATGTCCTGGAACGGATGGATGATGGCCTTCCTTCAAACCTTAACAAGATACCACAGCTCTTACAACTGCTGAAACTCTGGGATTATGAATATGCAGCCACTGACCTATGTGTATGAAAACATCTTCACTGCAGAGACCATGCAGAGTCACTGAGAAGACAAGAGCCACTGGCCTGGGGTGACTCTGGCTGCCAGGTTTCTAACAGGCCTGGAACTACCCAGAAACAAAGGTGGTCCAATGCAGACGACTCCTCCCCTCCTCTCCCCTTTCCTTCACCTCCAACACCAAACAAATACATCTTGCATTTTCTGGTACACTTCATTATATTTACATCCAAAAATGTAGGAAATGTTAACAGTTTGCTAAATCTCAGTAAAGAGTATATGTGTTCACTGTATTATTCTTACAATTTTTTTGGTAGGTCTGAAATTTTTCAAAAAGTTAATTTAAAAAAGTTTAGAAAAAATTAACCAAACAAACATTTACAAAGAATGATCACTGTCAACAGTGCATGTATTTCAAAGTAAACATCAATTCTGCAGTCAAAAGTCATTGCAGAATCATCTAAGACTAATTACCAAATTGGTACACAAGTAAGATCATGGTGTGAATAAAATTTTTTCAACAGGAAACACTATAAGCTTCATGTTTGTTAAATAATCTTATTATAAACACAATTTTAATTTTTAAGTTGTCAAAATAGTTGGTACTCAATCCATTTTTGCAAAATAGATTTAGCATCTAAGCCAAATTCAGCTTAAACTTCCCACCTCCTTTGCCTGTGTATTCTGAAATCTGTATCTAGAAATGGCTTTTCTGGATCCAGTCCCCCTAGTCCAAGTGTATATCCCTAAGTACATTTGCACATGGTGTATTTTCTCTGCAACATTCTTTTAATAACCTTATGCAGGTGAATACTACAGTTATGTTATGTTTATATATTTTTCTCCTAAGTTACTAGACAACTTTTATAAACTTTATTAGCAAGTGGACATCATTCTTTATATAAAACTATGTAGAAAGTAAAAATTGCATTAAAAAGAACTTATCAAACAAATATCTCTCATCAAGGCTTCACTAAATATAAATACATATGACATTCACAAATGTGTCTGTATCTTTTAATCTACTACAAAGTCTATTGTCGTTGGTAACAAGCACTTTATACTGGTGTATAATTCAGTTGTTCATTTAGAACTGGAGGTTCTGACAGTAAAAATAAAAACGGGAAAAAGAATTAACTTCAGAAACAAATCAATGAAATTTCTTACTAAATAAAATTCTTTGTGCATGTTTTCTTGCTATGTGTATAGTGTTCATCTTCTTTGAATTTTGCTTAAAAGGATAAATAAGAGATATCTTAAAACCGATTATTGTGATGTTTCTGGGCAAGTCAATTAACTTATCTACTAATTTTAACTTACAATGAGGATGGATGTTTATAATGATAACTTTGAGACATAAATATCAATTATGAAAAAAAGATTTAGTGATGACCACTAAGGTAGGAAAATTTTTAGCAGGTAATTAAGCTGATTAGATTTAGTATTCTATTCTCATACAACACTAGTTAACTAAATTTTCTCTTACCAGTTGATCAGTTGATTTTTCTACCTTTTTCTTGGTTTCCTCTGTAGCCTGCTCTTCCAGAGGAAGATCCCTATTTCAAATGAAAAAGAAAGGTATATTCAGAACATCTCCTTACAAAGAACACAGTTAAAATTTTTTGATTAATTTTTGCCTGTATTAGTAAAGAAACTAACATATGAATTTTGGCCTGAAAGTTTCAAAAGTGTAAAACAATACGTACCAAAGCCTGGCAATAGTGTTTAGGTGCTATCTCTCTTTAGGGACTCAGATAGACAAAAGAAATTATTCCAAGTCCTTACTGGATGGTGGCAGAGAGAACAGAAAGCTGATGTAAAAAAATTTTCATCTTTAACAAACACACAACAGATCAAAATAATGGGAAAAATTGACTTTATAGCACTGTTTCAGTGTAAAGGAAAAAAAGGCTGAAAAGATCAACATTTTGTGTGTGCATGTATGTGTGTGTTTATGAAAATAATTAAGGTTTGGAAGTGTCTATCTTACATAGCTTTTTTTTTTTTCCAGCTTTTTGGCATCAAAATGATCTGGTTTTCCAAAGTGGCTTTTTTAACTGAGGTAGGAGAGTATCATATTTAGAAATTATTTAACTATTTCTGTAGAAAGGAATAATGACAAGTTTTGCTTTTGACATGTACTTGAAATGTGAACATATGCAGTATTGTTTATTGAACTGAAAATTTATTTATAAAATTGCTTTTGCCTACATACAGAACCATGACACAAGATTTGAGAACCACAACATAGGGTCATATACAATTTATATAATCTGCATAATTCTATATACTAGCAGAGAAAAAACTGAGGTGAGTAACCTATCAATTGATTTATTCAGAATTGTACTTTGTAAATATCCTATTTCACTTCACATTTATATACTCATTTGACTGACAATCATTTATCATCTACTATGTGCTAACTGATTTTGTCAGGGGAAACTGGGACAGATAAACAGTATGGAATTGTCTACACAGTGAACACTGCAACAAAAGCTGATTTATACACACAAACAATATTTCACAATAGGAGTCAGTGTTCTTTAAAATGTTATGGTAAAAAGAAAGTGTTGTCCTGTACTTCTAAGCCCCATTCCAAAAAGGAACACAAGGAATCTGTGTTACCAAGGAATGAAAAATACTACAGCAGTCTTCTGAAGCCCGTTAAGGTCTGAGAGAGTACAAAATGTTCTCAAAAGGTATATTCTACCTGTTGACTCCAATTTAGGGTCATTTACTCCTTAACCCAGTAGTTCTCAGTCCCAGACTTTAATGCATGTTAAAATTATCTGTGAAGCTTTGGAAACATCCAGATGTCCAAACCCTACTTCAGAATTCTTAAACAAAAGTGTGGTACATGAGTTTCAATATGCTCCATAGGTTCCATAACAAATTTTCATGTGAAAACTTGACTAATCTGCACTTTCTCCACAACATTAAAAGTGCTCTAATAAAAGTTGCTAATGAAATTCTATTTGCTACTCCAGTAGCTTTGTCTTGGGTTCTCATTTTACTGACCCCTTCTGCATCATTTAACATCATACATCATATATGCCAACCCTCCGTGAACACCTCTACATCCTTTGCTGCTATTGTTTCTCCTCCTAGCCCCTCAGCTGTCCACTTCTCAATTTGTACAACTGGCTATCCCTCTTCCTTTCATTTATCTCCTCTTCCTTTCATTTATCTTATTCATTTATTATTTTAATAATATTTACATAGAACTGCACACGTTAATACTATCAAACCATGCTCCCCATGTATTAGATCAGGACGGTACCCCAGTGGTCATATATGGCACCTACTTTATTCTACTGATGGGTAAATCAATGCCAAGAGAAGTCATCCACTAGAAAGCAGCAAAGCTAAAACAAAGTGCAAGACTAGTATTTTGTTTTTTCTTGCTATTCTGCTACTTCTACCATTGTGTACTTTATTCTGCTGCTGGGAAAAGCTGAAATTTTGCTATAATAAACCTGAAATATACATATATAGCATATAGTAATGCTGCACTCATCTCACACGCTAGTAAAGTAATGCTCAAAATCCTCCAAGCCAGGCTTCAGCAATATGTGAATCGTGAACTTCCAGATGTTCAAGCTGGTTTTAGAAAAGGCAGAGGAACCAGAGATCTAATTGCCAATATCTGCTGGATCATCAAAAAAGCATGAGAGTTCCAGAAAAACATCTATTTCTGCTTTACTGATTATGCCAAAGACTTTGACTGTGTGGATCACAATAAACTGTGGAAAATTCTGAAAGAGATGGGAATACCAGACCACCTGACCTGCCTCTTGAGAAACCTGTATGCAGGTCAGGAAGCAACAGTTAGAACTGGACATGGAACAATAGACTGGTTCCAAATAGGAAAAGAAGTACATCAAGGCTGTATATTGTCACCCTGCTTATTTAATTTATATGTAGAGTACATCACGAGAAACGCTGGGCTGGAGGAAATACAAGCTGGAATCAAGATTGCTGGGAAAAATATCAATAACCTCAGATATGCAGATGACACCACTCTTATGGCAGAAAGTGAAGAAGAACTAAAGTGCCTCTTGATGAAAGTGAAAGAGGAGAGTGAAAAATTTGGCTTAAAGCTCAACATTCAGAAAATTAAGATCCTGGCATCCGGTCCCATCACTTCATGGCAAATAGATGGGGAAACAGTGGCTAACTTTTTATTTTTCTGGGGTCCAAAATCACTGCAGATGGTGATTGCAGCCATAAAATTAAAAGACACTTGCTCCTTGGAAGGAAAGTTATGACCAACCTAGACATCATATTAAAAAGCAGAGACATTACTCTGCCAACAAAGGTCCGTCTAGTCAAGGCTATGGTTTTTCCAGTAGTCACATATGGATGTAAGAGTTGGACTATAAAGAAAGCTGAGTGCTGAAGAATTGACACTTTTAAGTGTTGGAGAAGACTCTTGAGAGTCCCTTGGACTGCAAGGAGATCCAACCAGTCCATCCTAAAGGAGATCAATCCTGGGTGTTCATTGGAGGGACTGATGTTGAAGCTGAAACTCCAATACTTTGGCCACCTGATGTGAAGAGCTGACTCATTTGAAAAGACCCTGAAGCTGAGAAAGATTGAGGGCAGGAGGAGAAGGGGACAACAAAGGATGAGATGGTTGGATGGCATCACCAACTCAATGGACGTGAGTTTGGATGGACTCCGGGAATTGATGATGGACAGGGAGGCCTGGCATGCTGCGGTTTATGGGGTGACAAAGAGTCAGACAGGACTGAGCAACTGAACTGAACTGAATGTTCCATATTTAGCCCTCTTTCTTCTTAATACATTTTCTATTTAAATCAATCTCATTTATGCCCATGAATAAACACTCTCAAATAGGAATCAGGTTCTTCTTATTGACTATTTTTACCTTCAAGTCTCCAGCTCAACATCTGATATAAAGTAGGCACTCAAATATTTATTGAATGTATGAATATACAAACAAATAAATAAGCAAACTTCCATGAATTCAAATAGTAACACATTCCAATGATTCACAAATCTGTATCTGCAACCTTAATTTTTCTTTGATGTTACAGCTACATATTTCCATCCACCTATTTGACAATCTCCGTAAGACTATCTTAGCGACACCTCAATCTGCTCATATCTAAAGTTGAACTCATTATCTGTCCTCTCTTACTTTCTCAACACACATTAAAACTGTTCTCCTTTTGTGATCTCTATGTTACTTAACAGTACATATTTCCTTGTGATCATTAGAAACCTTCAAACTAGCTCTACTTCTCCTCTGCCCCTTTTCTTGTAACTCTGCACAAAATAAGGCTAACTCCTTATCAGGAGTCAAACTCCTCATCAGGAGTCAAACTCCTCCCCAAGAATTTACCTTAAATACTTTTTTTTTGATATTTCCTCAGCTAAGCAACCTCCCATGTGCCCTGATTCTACATTCATCAAAAGCCGTCTTTATCCTTTAAAACTCAGTTTACATGTCATCTTCTAAAAACCCACTGAACCCCCCAGTCAATAATCAGTGTTTCATCCTATATACAGCCACAGCCTTTCTACTGTAATACTTACGCATGCATTTTGCCTAAAGATAAGACAACTTTTTAGATATCTTCTGACTACATTATAATTCTAAGCTGTTGTTCAATCGCTAAGTCATGTCTCACTCTTTGCAACTCCGTGGACTCTAGCACACTAGGCTCCTCTGTCCTCCACTATCTCCCAGAGATTGCTCAAATTCATGTCCATTGAGTCGGTGATGCTATCTAAGTACACATATTTTATTTTACTCTTATTCCCTAAGTGTCAAGGAGGTAATTAAATATTTGCAAAAACAACACATTGTTTATTATATGAGATAGGGCAATGTGGGAAGGAGATCTCCAATACTAGCCAGCTCTTTACTATTACATGGGAAAGGTCTAAGCAAAATGAACTTTCCCTAATTGGAGAGGAGAGACTGACATTTAGCCTAGGCCCAGTTGAACCTCTCAGTAGCCTTCTGTGTTATACTTAGGCTACTTTATATAAAATGGAAATAATAATAGCATCCCCTCATAGAGTTGTTATGAGGTTTATATGGGTTAAGGCTTGTAAAAGCATTCAAAACAATGCGTGGCAGAAAGTAAGTCTATTTGGTGTTTCTTGCTCAGTCATGTCCGACTCTTTGCGACCCCATGGACTATATCCAGCAAGACTCCTCTGTTCATGGAATTCTCCAGGCGAGAATACTGGAGTGGGTATCCATTCCCTTCTCCAGGGGATCTTCCTGACCCAGGGATCAAACTCAGGTCTCCCACATTGCAGGCAGATTCTTTACCATCTATCTGAGCCACCAAGGAAGCCCCAAATCTATTTAAGTGCATGTTAAATGATAAATAAAACATTACTTTGTTGTGAATGTCCCCAGTGTGGCAAGCTACGGCACATCAACTCTTAGCTACTGAGTCAGGGTCTAAGTCCTTAGAGAAATTTTCTAAAATTAGATTTTACCCAGTTTACATCCTCCACTAAAAAACTGTTGTCTTGAAATATAAGGGTATATCATTCACACTAGCTTCTCAAAATTTTGTGAGAAAGGCAAATGTTGTGCCTTCAGAATGTAACACCTACAGTCGGTTTTTTCAGCCCATCCCTTACCTCACAAAAAATTCTTCTGGTAGAGAATCCATGCTGCATAATATTCTTATGCAAGTCTTATTCCAAGGCTTGAAGACTGACTTTTACGACTGCTGTTTAAAGCTGTAAGGAAAGTAATGTTTTAGTAGGAGGGTAGGAGGATTTCATTCTTTTTTCCCCACTATTTAAATAGTATATAATCATTAAAGAAAATTTTGAAACTGCTATAAAAGAAAGTGAAATCACATAGTTTCATCATCTAAACATAAATAATATAAATCATTGCCTACATTTTAATATACTTTGTTCCAAGCATGGGTATATTTTACCAATTTGTAATCATATTGAATATGGAATACACCACAGTAGCTTCTTCACCACTGAATTATATCAAAAGCACCTTTCATGTTATTTTATACTCCTAGTAAACATTCTCAATGGCTACATAACAACCGATTGTAGTTTCCTTAGCCATTTCCTGATAGTGGAACATTTAGTGTTTCCCATTCTTTCAATATAAATAATTAGTACTGTGATAAACTCCATTGCCTGTAATGCCTTTTCTATGTTTAGGATTAATTCCTTATAACAAATCCTCAGAAACAGATTTCCCAGGTCAAAGACACAAATATTTTAAGCTTCTATGTGCTTATTTCGAAATGGCTTCCCAAATGGTTTCTAATAATTTATTTCCCAGTTATAAGAAGTTCCTCTTTAACACAATCTTTTTTTTTCTTTAATTGAAGGATAACTGCTTTACAGAATCGTGTTGGCTTCTGCCAAGCCTCAACATTTCTCTTAGTCCAAAAATAACATTTTGAAGGAAATGGCAACCCACTCCAGAATTCTTGCCTGAAAAATCCCATGGATGGAGGAGCCTGGAAAGCTACAGTCCATGGGGTCGCAGAGACAGACACGCCTGAGCGACCTCACAGAAAGACAGAAAAAATAACATTTAGCTACTTTTCTTCAAAATTGCATGAATCTCCAATAGGAGACAAGAGTTATGAAGAACTCTTGTATATTCTCTGATTTAAATATCAATGAATGTTGTGGATGTTTCCTGAAGGAAAAAAAAAAATACTGCAGCAAAATAAATGAAAACAAAAGGGGAACAAAATGTCATTAGCGTATCTACATCTATTTATATTGCTCTCTAATTTAACTATTCCAAAGCCAATTCTTCCAAAATCAGTCCCATTTGATTTCTTTTACTGAGGGTTCAGGTCTCCAAATTCTATTGCCCTCTGTTACGCTGACTTCCCTTTCTGGTCCCACTGGACACAAGCTGAGAAAGTATTACAGTAAAAGTATATAAAATTATTGCATGGTTCAGTTCAGTTCAGTCGCTCAGTCGTGTCCAACTCTTTGTGACCCCATGGACTGCAGCACGCCAGGCCTCCCTGTCCATCACCAACTCCCAGAGTTTACTCAAACTCATGTCCATTGAGCTGGTGATGCCATCCAACCATCTCATCCTCTGTTGTTCCCTTCTCCTCTCGCCTTCAATCTTTCCCAGCATCAGGGTCTTTTCAAATGAGTCAGCTCTTCGCATCAGAGCATGGTGCTCTGGGACAAAGAAAGAAATGATTCTATCTATATTCTGTATTTGACTTAGCTTCCCTGTTGGCTCACATGGTAAAGAATCTGCCTGTAATGCAAGAGACTCAGGTTCGATCCCTGCATGCGAAGATCCCCTGGAGAAGAGAATAGCAACCCACTCCAGTATTCTTGCCTGGAGAATCCCATGGACAGAGAAGCCTGGTAGGCTACAGTACAAGGGGCTGCAAAGAGTCAGACACGACTGAACGAATAACACATACCAGCTCTCAGTTACACAAAAAGGCTTGAGAAACAAGGATAATCCTCTAAAAATTCAATGCTACCTGATATTTCTTAATCAAGCTACAAATGTAAAGATTTACACAGACTTCCACTAAACTCCCTTATTTAAAACAGAACTTTCTAACATCCGTTTCCTGTCCATACCTAATAAAACACTTCTTGCTGTCAGTATTTACATAACTCGCCTATACAATCTACTTCTTCTAGGTATATCATTCTATTTTTTACTTTTAGTCTTATTTCAAAAACCCAGTATACAAAGTCACATGCCTGTTAGAATTTGCATTCTCTATTCAAATACAAAGATATAAACTAAAGCCAATAATGAAGCAGAGAACGATTGGATAAAACTCACTATTCTTTCACACAAACTCAGATCTGCTTTATCTCTTAATAAAGCTGTACAGAAAAGGACATGGCTTTGAAAACTGTAGGACTTTGATCAAACAGTTTTTACGGTTTCTTTAACCTCCCTGTTATTTTAATAAAAAAATAACTGACATTATTTCATAGCCAGAGCATACAAGAGTAGCACAGCAGAGCAGCATATTTTGTCTGCCTTTCCCAGACAAAATAATCCTCTCATTTTCAGAATTTAAAAGCTCAGGCCTGGATATTCCCCTTTCTTATAAGTTCTCCTTCAGTTAGTAGCTGTTTGCATAGATCACAGTGAGGCTGAAAAGGAGGAAAATACTCTGGCAACAAGAGAGAATGGAAGGCCTCTGCTAAGCTATTCACTGTTCAGTTTGAAAAAGAAAAGGGCATAAAATTAATCAATAAATTAGAATGTATTTGGACCTTAAATTAAGAGTTTAAAAAGGCTAATGGCTTGCTTTCTCAGCCTGCTTTAAAATACAACCTGATATCAATCTCTGTGGTGAAAGGTTGTCCAGGAGAGAGGAGCATTCAGTTCAGTTCAATTGCTCAGTCGTGTCCACCTCTTTGCGACCCCATGGACTGCAGCACGCCAGGCTTCCCTGTCCCTTCACCAACTCCCAGAGCCTACTCAAACTCATGTCCACCACATCGGTGATGCCATCCAACCATCTCATCCTCTGTCATCCCCTTCTCCTCCCACCTTCAATCTTTCCCAGCATCAGAGTCTTTTCCAGTGAGTCAGTTCTTCAGATCAGTGGCCAAAGTACTAGAGTCTCAGCTTCAGCATCAATCCTTCCAATGAATATTCAGGACTGATTTCCTTTAGGATGGACTGGTTGGATCTCCTTATAGTCCAAGGGACTCTCAAGAGTCATCTCCAACGCCACAGTTCAAAAGCATCAATTCTTCAGCGCCCAGCTTTCTTTATGGTCCAACACTCACATCCATACACGACTACTGGAAAAACCATAGCTTTGACTGGATGGACCTTTGTTGGCAAAATAACGTCTCTGCTTTTTAATATGCTTTCTAGGTTGGTCATAGCTTTTCTTCCAAGGAGCAAGTGTCTTTTAACTTCATGGCTGTAGTCACCATCTGCAATGATTTTGGAGCCCAAGAAAATAAAGTCTGTTTCCATTGTTTCCCCATCTATTTGCCATGAAGTAATGGGACCAGATGCCAGGATCTTAATTTTCTGAATGTTGAGTTTTAAGCCAACTTTTTCATGCTCCTCTTTCACTTTCATCAAGAGGCTCTTTAGCTCTTCTTCACTTTCTGTCATAAGGGTGGTGTCATCTGCATATCTGAGGTTATTGATATTTCTCCTGGCAATCTTGATTCCAGCTTGTGCTTCATCCAACCTGGCATTTCAAATGATGCACTCTGCATATAATAAGCAGGATGACAATATACAGCCTTGATGTTTGATGTACTCCTTTTCTGATTAAGAACCAGTCTGTTGTTCCATGTCCAGTTCTAACTGTGGCTTCTTGACCTGCATCAGATTTCTCAGGAGTCAGGTCAGATAGTCTGGTATTCCCATCTCTTGAAGAATTTTCCACAGTTTGTTGTGATCCACACAAAGGCTTTGGCATAGTCAATAAAGCAGAAGTAGATGCTTTTCTGGAACTCTCTTGCTTTTTCGATGATCCACTGTATGTTGGCAATTTGATCTCTGATTCCTCTGCCTTTTCTAAATCCAGCTTGAACATCTGGAAGTTCATGGTTCATGTACTGTTGAAGCCTGGCTTGGAGAATTTTGAGCATTACTTTACTAGCATGTGAGATGAGTGCAATTGTGCAGTAGTTTGAACATTCTTTGGCATCGCCTTTCTTTGGGATTGGAATGAAAACTGACCTTTTCCAGTCCTGTGGCCACTGCTGAGTTTTCCAGATTTGGTAGCATATTGAGTGCCGCACTTTCACATCGTCATCTTTTAGGATTTGAAATAGCTCAACTGGAATTCCATCATCTTCACTAGTTTTATTCGTAGTGATGCTTCCTAAGGCCCACTTGACTTCACATTCCAGGATGTCTGGCTCTAGATGAGTGATCACACCACTGTGGTTATCTGGGTCATGAAGACCTTTCTTGTACAGCTCTTCTGTGTATTCTTGTCACCTCTTCGTAATATCTATGGTGAAAGGTTTTCCAGGAGAGTTGATCATTAATCCCATCATTTCCCAGGAGCTGAGCTGCCAGGTGGCAAGCCCCACAAGCACCACTGGCAGCAGTAGCACTTTACAGCCTTTCTTGGGAAGGAAGGTATAAATGCCTAGCAACAGAAAGGAAGCAGTCAGCCTACAAAGTTACCACTATACTTCTGAAATAATCAAAAGTTCTCACTATTCTAGAAGAGGCTGAAGGAAACTTTTAAATCAGGGTTAACATGGGAGAAAGGGTGAATCCAGTTTCCTTATGTGTGTTCATTTCAGTAGACTTTCCTTGTCAGCAGGAAACGAAACATTTACTCTGCCTTTCTGGAATTGAACTGCCCTTCAACAGAAACTGTTCAGGTCTGGCTGGCTGACCATAGGGCAAGCTAAAGTTCAGTGTCAATTTAAAGCACACCTTTATCCACTAACCAAAATGATTTTATCTGCATGTTGCTTTACTGGTTGAAAATAAGGTATTGCCATCCATATCTTGAGGCAGCAAAATATCTTTTTTACTGCTCCCCCTTTCTGAGCTTCCAGTTCCCCCTTTTCCTCTCATGAAATTATAACAAGCTTTTTTAAATTTAAGAGTTTCCTTTCCCTATTTTTAAAGCTGTGCTATTCACATCAAAGTAGGCACAACTATTGTTTATAATTTTTTAATCATTCATTTAAACATTCACCTTGTCGTATTGTCACCTCCTTAAACTGTATATATTTACATTGTCTTTATATCCACTTAAACGCTCATCTTTATTCTGTCACCTGACCAAGTCAGAGGTTCCACCTGGCCAACAAGTTTACATTTCAATGTATGGATGGATGTCCTATGGTCCCATGAATTTGCTAGCCTTGTCAGTTTTGGCACTTAGAGATAACACATGGCCAGGTGGGGCAAGTGCATAATAACAGTGTAAAAAAAGCAGTAAAAATAAAGTTCATTTTTCTTAATGCTACTAGCTTGAAAAAAAAAATATTGCGCTGGGTAAATCTTGGTTATGAGAAGTTGTCCTATGCCTTTTTAGGATATTCAGAAACATGCCTAACTAGCCAGTATATGGCAGAAGCAACTCTCTCTCACCTCTCAGCCCCACTGCGGCAATCAAAACCATCACCGAACACTGCCAGACACCCTTCAGGGGGCAAAACTGCCCACAGCTCAGAACTATCTAATTAAACGGGTTAAAATGAAAAGGCTACCTAGATGAGCATAGATTGTTCTCAGCAATTAAAAAATATTCCTGTGACTAGGTACCATGTATGTGTGTGTGTGTGCTCAGCCACATCTGACTCTTTATCACCCCATGGAATGTAGCATGCCAGGCTCTTCTGTCCATGGAATTTTCCAAGCAAGAATACTGGAGAGGGTTGCTATTTCCTACTCCAGGGGATCTTCTGGACTCAGGTATCCTGCATAAACACAACAAACCATTTCTCCACAAAAAGGAGAAATGATAAAGTACCTCATTTAGTTTCCATCAGTGTGAAAAGTAAGTTGAGAGGTTCACAGGATTCGTAGCTAAGAGCACAGAGACATTACAGCCAGTTTACAAGAGTGTACAAGTCAGCTCAACACGCATTAACCATGAAACCTTGAGTGGAATGAACACCTCTGTACTTTAGTTTCCTTATCTGAAAAATAGAGAAAAAGTTGATCCATGACTCACAGGGTGGTTGCAAAGAGTAAATGTTTTAAAACATGTAACTGAACATAGTAAGGGCTTCCCGTGTGGCTCAGCTGGTAAAGAATCCGCCTGCAATGTGGGAGACCTGGTTTTGATCCCTGGGTTGGAAAGATCCCCTAGAGAAGGAAAAGGCTACCCACTCCAGTATTCTGGTCTGGAGAATTCCATGAACTAAGTCCATGGGACTATATTTGTTACTATCAACATCTTTGTTTAATTTCATTTAAATTTATGGCAAAATCAGTTCACTTTCCTTCCAATTCTCTACCTTGGAGAAAAGCTTTATATGAAAAGGAATAGTAATAATGAGACTTAAAAAAATGGGTCAAAAACATCTTTCAACTATATCCTACATGATAACAATTGGCAGTTTAATCTGCATTATCTTTGGCACCTTGCAGTTTCATATCAACACATATGAATCTGCCATATTCTTTAAACTGCATGATATGCCATTGTATAAATGAACTATTTACCAGACCACTACTGATAAATACTTCAACTGTATCCAGTTTGTGTTTGTATGTGGGTTTTTTTAATATATTTTATAAACAAAGATGCAATAAACAATCCTGAACATGCAACTTGGTCAAATTTTGAAAGCTACTTTACAAAGCTGGATTTCTATTTCAGCACTGAATTAAATGTACTTCAGGTCTGTTACTAAAACAAATTCTGACAATGCTAGTTATCACTTCTGCTAGACTTTGCCAAAAGAATTCTAAAACACTCCTTTAAGTAGAGATGTGAGATGTTCTGGCCACATATAGTACAGTAACCACCCCAAGGCTGAAAAAAACTATGAAGAGGACACTTTCTAGGAATAACTCAAGACATTTTTATGGGAGTTTCTTCCAACCAAAATTTTAACTATTATTAATCTATGTCTGCTAGTCAAATAGAAACAGTCATTTTTGGTGGCTTTGAAAGGAGTAAAGCAGGAGTTTTGTGGCTTCAACATTCTCACATGTGAGACAGTAAACAAGAAGGGCTAGGCCATCAGTTTAAACTCAAAGGAAAAACGATTATACAATTAATTTGTTACTAACTGTCTGAAGAATAGGGAAATATACTGATTATTTGATTTTCTAATTTTCCATTTATTTTTTGCATTTTGTATTTATTTAGGTTCTTGGCAAAGACTCAAAATGAAAATCTGCAAGACATAAAGAATCCATTTGCAATGCTAGAGACCTGGGTTCAATCCCTGGGTTTGGAAGGTCCCCTAGAGAAGGGAAAGGCTACCCACTCCAGTGTTCTGGCCTGGAGAATTCCATGGACAGAGGAGCCGGGGGGGCTACAGTCCATGGGATCACAAAGACACAACAGTGACTTTCACTTTGGCAAGGCCTCAAAATGAACATACCTACACAAGGGAAGCCAAAATATCATTTTCCCCCATGGAAAAAATACATAGTTTGCTTAAGTAAACTCCAAGACTGATTGACAATGGTTGGAAAACCTCTACAAAAGTTATCAGAAACCAAAGGTATTATCTGTCCCAAAAGATCAGGGTACTCCTCAGCTCTAGCTATTTAGCAAAGATCATTTTGCTACTATCTGGCAGATCATACCAGGACACAAGAAAATAGCAATGCATACCCAATGCCCCATCCTTACAAATCTGCCAATATAGGGAACATCCTTGCCAAAATTGGCATCTTGTCTGAAGCAGGTATTTAATTCTCTTCAGATCTATTCAGTCATTTATTCCTGAACTTACACAAGCAAATTTGCAGAATATATATATATATATATGTTATAAATATTTGGAATGTATCTATTATAAATATGCACAGGTTAGAATTCACCTGAAAAGAGTCCAAATATTAAACAATCCATCAGTTTCAGGTTACTTACAGGTAGCACTGCGAAAACCATGCTATTCAAAAATGCAGCTAGGACTGTTGGAAGGACCATTTGTTATGCAAACTCTCCAAAAGTGGGATATTTTCAGTCATTTAAAAATATTACGCTGTCATTACAGTTGTTAGACAATAATGAAAAAAACGGATATGACAGAATGTTAAAACATGACCCATATCGAGAAGACGATCAAGCAGGGAATGGAGGATACAATACATATTTGACGCTCCCACCAATGACCCTACCCAAATCCAACTTTATCCTCCATCAAGGTTAAAGATTTTGGAGAAGTCCCCAATTTTTTGGATCACATACTTCTAAAGAAGCAAATCTGAAAATACAATGAAAATATATGGCTAGCAATTCATTTATGCTATTAATGCTATTGTAAGCACTACTATAAAATAAAAAGAGTAAGACTAAAATAAGTAAAAACAGAAGTTCTAATATTTGTTCCCACACTGTAATAGTCAGTTTCACGTATCTAAGGTGTGCATACTCTACTTTCGATTCCCCTGTTTCAGAAAATGATTTCACATTTTAACTCAGGAAACAAATATATACCCCTTTCATGATCTTGATAATTTCTATTTCCTAAAAGACTAGAAAATTTTAAATAAGATATGCAGAAGACACTGCTCTGTGCTCTGCACAGAGGCTTTCAACAAATACTAGTTATAATTTAAAATGATTACTGTAACTTAAAAGTGTGCCATTTCATGTTTACTTATCTATAAAATTAGATTCAGAAAAAATGGATAGCAGTTTAAAAAAAATCAAAAGTTTTAGGGATATGAAATTAGATGTGAAAACGCGGAACAAAACATTTACCCAAATTATCCATTCCTTGTATTCTTAGAGTTGAAGTCTGTGAAATGTACATTAAATAAAATCAGGAACTGTTTGAAAAGTGAGAAAGTTAATTTTATGGTTTGGTAAGTCATTTACAGATTAGCTTAATCATATATGGTTGGGAAAGAAACCAGGAAGAAAGATAATTCTAAGTGGAGAATAATTTTGGTTTATTTAGGTTTCCTGGCTTTGTGATGGAAGGTAAACTGTTCTGAAAAATGAGAGTTGACATTAACTGTACATACTGTTTTCTGGCTCTGTATAAATGCTAAAATCAATTAAATATCAGTACATATTTGAATTGTTTTAATCGTACTGGGTACATAGAATCCAAATGACCTCATGTCTAGACCTCTGCCAATTTTCTACTATTGATTTCTTCGTCCTGTATCTCTGGAACCTGGGCCAATAGGATTTTTGTTCTACCTGCTGTTTACGCCTACTGAATAATCTCTCAATTTTAGACTTGGCCTCATGCTCTCACTATCATGGAAGTCCCACAGAGTCACAACATTTTTTTTTTTCTTTTTCTAAATCCCTGGCTACATCCCCAGTGCCTAGTACCTGGCATACTTCAAGCATTCAATACTGATATAAAGAATAAAGTCACCAATCCTTCCTCATACTTCAGGTCCTCTGAAGGCAGAAATGAAGAGTGAAGCCTGTATATAGATACAGACTTCCTTCTCTGTCGACCCAGAGTCCA